AGCTCACTGCAAACCCAGTTTACCCGAGCACCCAACTCACTGCGAGCCCAGTTTATCTCAGCACCCAACTTACTGCAAACCCAGTTTACCCCAGCACCCAAGTTACCCAGTTCATTGCATCCACTTTATTGCACTGTACCATAGAACCCTCTTTATTGCACCCACTTCACTGCACCCATATCATTGCAGCCCCAGCTCCTCTCTCCCCTTCCCCCCCCCCCCGTGGGTGCTCTGGTCTCACCATCACCCAGGAAGAGGATGAGGTTCTTGGCCACGTTCTGGTTGAGGCGCTGGAGCCGCAGCGCCTGTTGCAGGGTCTCCTGTGCCTGCTCCCGCCAGTACTCGGGGTCCTTCTCAATCTCTGCGGGAGATCCCAGGCTCCATCGCACCCAATAGCGCCCACCTTTGGGGTGCTGCCCCCCCCCCCCCCCCAAACCTCACCTACCGGGGACCAGCGATGCCGAGCAGAGCTGGGTGAGGAGGAGGAGGAGGAGGAGAAGCTTCATCCTGCGGTGCTGAGCGGGGCTGCAGAGCAGAGAGAGCTGCACGCAGCCCGTGCCTCAGTTTCCCCACCCAGACCTTTGCCCCCGGGCTCAGCCGAGCAAGGACAGAGGGAAAAGTCCTTCTCCGCGCTGTCACTGATTGTCACTGCTGTGACCCCCTGGGGACGTGCCACCAGCCCCAGCCACCAGCCCCATGGGTGGGGGGCGATGGCACAGACCCCTATGTGCGTGCCCTGCAGCAGGGTCCCCACTGCACGTTAAGAGTCCCCACCACACGGTGTGTCCCATCCTGCACCCCCCATCCTGTGCCCACATCCCAATCCCATGGCCCCATCCATCCTGTGCCTGTGTCCCTGTCCCATGCCCATGTCCCCATCGCACACCCATGTCCCTATTGCATGTCCATGCCCCCAGCGCGTCTGTGTCCCCATTGCACACACACCCCTGTCCCCATCCCCAGCCTGTATCCCCATCGCACATCCACATCCCCATCACGTGCCTGTGTCCCTGTTGCATGTCTGACCCCATTGCACACCCGTGTCCCCATTGCACACTTGTCCCCATAGCACACCCATATCCCCATCCCATTTCCATGTCTCCATCACACCCCCATTTCCCTGTTGCACCCTCGTGTCACCACCACACACCCTGTCCCTGTTGCACGCTCATGTCCATGACCCTATTACACCTCCATGTCCCCTTTGCACCACCATGTCGCCATCCCATGTCCATGCCCCATTGCTCCCCCATGTCCCCATCGCACCCCCCATCTCCCTGTTGCACCTCCATGGCCCCATTCCCACGTCCATGTGCCCATCCCACCCCTATGTCCTTGTGCACACTCATGTCCCTCTTGCACCCCCAATCGCCCTGTTGCACCCCCATGTCCCCATTCCCATGTCCATGTCCCCATCCCAGCCCCGTGCCCCTGTGCACACTCATCTCCCTGTTGCACACCTATGTCCCTGTTGCACCCCCATGTCCCCATTGCACCCTCATGTTCCTGTTGCACCCCTATGTCCCCGTTGCACCCCCATGTCCTCATCCCATGTCCATGTCCCCATCGCACCCTCGTGTCTCTGTTGCACCCCCATGTCCCCATCCCCTGCTCATGTTCCCATTGCTCCCCGCGTCCCCACTGCACCCCCCTCTCCCTGTTGCACCCCCGTGTCCCCATCCCATACCCATGTCCCCATCGCACCCCCCGGCCCGATCCCCCAGCCCCACAGGGTTCCCCCTCCCCGGGGGTGGCCGCGGTGACCCCGGGGGGGGGATCCCCCCCACGTACCCGCACAAACTCGGGTGCCGGCACCACGTTCCTGCGGGGCGGCGGGAGGAGCCGGGCCGGGGGCGCAGCGAGCCCTTAAATCCCCCGCACCGGCCTTCGCCTCCTCCTCCTCCTCCCCTTCCTCCTCCCTCCCCCTGCCGCCAGCACGGGGAGCTGGGGGGGCAGGCAACAAACTGGGAGTACTGGTGCCCTCTGCCGGGTTATACTGGGAGGACTGGGGTGCCCCCAAGCCTGGCTGTGGGTGCTGAGCATCCCCCCCATCCACGCAGGGGGTGCACACGTGGGGGGGTGTTTTGCCGGATTTGGCACTATTTTCACCCAAAACGGGACAGCGACGCGAGCGTGGTTTGGGAAGGAGGGATGATGGGGAGGGGAGGGGGGGTCCCCCTGCCTCAGTTTCCCACCGCGGGCTGAGGCCGGGCACGGCTTTACTGTAGGTCCTACAATAAACCAGGCACTGCTGGAGGGGGGCTCGCCCGCCCCTGCCTCAGTTTCCCCATGCCGGGGGGGTGTCTGCGGGGCTCCGTGTGCCCTGGAGCCGGGAGCGGGTCCCCAGGAGGTGGCGGTCTCGGCACACAAACCCGCTCCGAGAAAGCTTTTCGGGGGGGTGCCAGCGCCGCCCCGACGCCACGGGGATGGGCGACGGTCCCTGCAGAACACCCCCCCCCCCCCCCCCATCATCCCTCAAGCAACCCCTCTCCCCGACCCTTTGCCCCCCCCTCTTCCAAGTGCTTTCCTTCCCAGCCCAGCGAAGCGATTCGCGGCCCCATGGGTGAGATGAGTGTGTCGGTGCTCAGCCCAGCGATGGGGCGAGGCGGTGGCACTGTGTGTGTGTGTGTGTGTGTGTGTGTGTGTGTGTGCCCCCCATCCCCGGTCCCCCCCCACATCGCAATGGGCTGTGGGGGTGTCTGTGTGCTCATTAAAACCCTCGTTGGGAGAGACACAACCTGCGGAGCTCCTTGCTGCGTGTGCAAACGCATCGGGCTCGGACCCCGAACCCCTTTGAGGGGCTGTTAAACACGGGGTGGGAGGGGGGGAAGCTGCAGCCCGAGGAGCACATTTGCACGCTCGTGTGCTTGCACAACCGGATGCTCGCGCTAAACGCTCACACGGCGCCCGCAGCGTTGCCCCCTTGCACGCCCCGCATCCCTTCGCACAAGCGGCGCTGGTTCATCGGAGCGATGCTTCCAGCAGCCCGAAGGGACGGGGACGGGGGAGAGCCCATGGGCACCCCTAAAATGGGGTCTGGGGCCCCCCGAAAGAGTTAACGGAGGCGCGCGGGGAAGCCCGTCCCTCCCGGCCCCATTGGTTTTCCCACCCCAGGTACATCCTCGCTCGTCACCCGCCGTCACCCTCTCGTAGGCCGCAGCGTAACGAGCGGCGCCGGGCTCGGGCTCGCCCCAGCGGGGGCCGGGACGGAGGGAGCGGGGTGTCACCATGGTGAGTGAGCGGGGGACCCCCCCCCCCCCCCCGGGACTCATCGGGGCTGGGGGGGATGCGTCCCCCATGGGATGCTGCGTTCCACGCCAAGGGACCCCCATGCACCCCACTAAGGGAAGGCCATGCGCACCCATGGGGACCCCTATTACACCCCGAGGGACTCCCATGGGATCCCCGCAGTTCACGCAGATGATTCCCATGGGACCCCCTATGCAACGCATGGGATCTCTCATTGCACCCCAAAAGACCCCCATTCCACTCCGAGGGACCCTAAAAGGGTCACCCATTGCACCCCGAAGCACCCCCATAGGATCTTCCATAGCACCCCCAGAGACCCTCACTGCACCCCAAAGACTCCCCCGTGCACCCCCATCGCACCCCTGGGTGCCCAACAAGAGCCTCCCTCCCCAGCCTGGTTTCCTTTGTGGGTTCCCTGAATGGGGACCCCAAGGGGGGTACCCCCTTCAAGCCACCCCCCCAGCACCCAGCCCTTGACCCAAACCACAGGGGTTCCCCCTGCATAGAAAGGGGTGCCCCCCCCAGCAGCACCCACTTTTGGGGGGGCTGCAAAGGGAGGGGTGTTTGCAAACAACCCCAGATTGAGCTCTTCCCCCCCCCCCCCCATTTATTTTGCAAACTTTAACCCTTTTCCACCCTTTTTAAGCTTTTTTTCCTTACCCACAATCAGGACCTTCCCCCCCCCCCCCCCATCCAAACTGGGTGCCCGCCCCCCCAATTAACACCATCCTCCCTAATTAACACCAGGTGTTGCTAACAACCCCCTGGGCATCCTAATTAGAAGCCTGAGACTCAATGGGTGCCCACTTCAGGCCGTGGCGCTGGCACCCATGGGTGCTGGAGGAGGGGGGGGAAGAGGGCCGGGATGGGTGCTGCTCGGCTGGGGGGAGCTTTGGGGGTACGGGGGGTGACTGGGGGGGGGGCTCGGGGCGCCGGGGCAGGCGGGGAAGCGCCATCGCGGCCGGAGCCGAGGTGGCCGCTCCGAAATGGCGCCCGAGCGGGAGCCGAGCGCAGCCGAACGCAGCCGAGCGCAGGCGGCTCGGGGCGCCCCGGTGCCGGGTGAGGGGCTCCGGTGCGAGGAGCGAGGGGTGGGGGGGGAGCCGCACGGTGGGTGCTTCCCCCCCCCCCCGGTAACAGTGCTGGGGCCCTGCGGGCTCGGAGCACGTGGGGCTCATTGTTTAGGAGGCCAAGGGGTGGTTTGGGGGAAAAACGAGGGGTTTCAGGCCCCGTGAGGACTTTTATAACTTATAAAGTGAATGAAAATCCCGTGGATGGGGGTTAAAGTGTGGGTGACCCCCCCCCCGCACCTTGGAATGCCCCCAACCCCCTTAAAGCTTTATTTATAACCTTTACTGGGATTTAAGCAAATAAAGCTGGGGGGGGGGAGAAACAAAACGCACCCTGTTTTGACCCAAAAAAGGGTGCTCCCGTGTTACAAGCTGGGGAGCACCCATGGGTGCCGCATTGCCCCGATGTCCCCAATGATGTGTGTGTTGGGGGGGGGGCTATGGGTGCTAAAAATACCTCCCAGACCCAGTTTCCCCCATATTAAGGATGCTGGGGGTTGATCGCGGTGCCCCCCCCCCCCCGGGGGGTGTTCAAGCTTAGCTTGGATTCTCTGATGTCTAATACAGGGTTGAACCGGCACATCCCTAGTGAAAGGAAAACCGTGGGTTTTTTTCTCCATCTTTCCCTTTTCCCTGCTCTTTGCAGGCTCATGGGGGGGGGATCGCTGGAAAAACTTCATTTCCTCAGGAAACAGAGTGAAAGCTTTGGCCAAAAAGGTGGGACTCCAGGAATTTGGTGCTGTTGGAGCTGAGGGGGGGGCTTCCTGGACACCCCCCACCCCCCCCAAAATGAGCAGGGATTTGTGTCCAGAGCTGCAAGTTCCAGCCATGTGCAAAGTGTGAAAATAAGGGGAAAAAGTGAAAGGGCATGGAAAAAATACATCATTGAAGCCCCGGGTTCAGCAGCGATAGCATCTTGCAGTGAAAGGGTTTTCGTCTCCTGGTTCCAGGGCACCAGGGGGGGATTTTGGGGCTGGAAACAGAGCTTTTTGGTCAAGCAAGGAGAGAAACTGCTTTTTTCTTTTAACCCTTTCCCTTTGCCAGGTGGGTTTTGTGCCTGCTGAAACCCCAGGCTGTGATTTGGGATCCAGGGGTTAGGATGGGATTCGGTGTTAACTGCGTGAGAGGAGGTTTGGGAAGGCCGGTAGTGGAAACAGGGCTGAGGACTGGGGCTTTCATTGCATGCTGAGGCATGCAGTGCTGGGTTCAGATCACCTCAGTGTCCCTTTGGGGACGATGGCAGCAGGATGGGGACATCCAGATGGGTGCAAACCCCAACCAGGCGCTGCACTGGGGGTGAAGGGACGTGACCAGTGCCACTCGGCCCATCAGTAGCAGGGGTTGGGGTGGGTTTTGGGGTGCTTCCCGCCCTCGGTGGCAGGCAGAGGGTTGTTTTCCCTGGCTGGGTGACAGGGCTGTGCCAGGGGGGAAGGAAACAGCAGCATGATAAGGGCCGGCTGCCAATCCCTGAGGTTTCCCCTTGTTTTTCTGCTTGGAGATGAGATAAGAGCCAGGCACCAGCACAAGATAATGCCCTGGGGACAAGGAGCAGGGAGGGAGCCCGTCGGCAGCCTCAATTCAAGGTGCTGTCGCCTCTGGGTTCTCATAGGGACCTGATGGGGTGTTTCGGGGTGCGCACCATTCACAGGGTGTGGAGCACGAGCGAGATGGTAGTTTTGGGGTGAAAAGCCATTTTCCTCCATTCCCAGCCCTTCCCAGGTCCTGGGGTTCCCTGGCCCTGGGGTCCCTCACCCTGCTGCGGGGCCGGTGGAGGAGGAACCGGCTTTATTCCAGGCTGAACGGGAGGTTGCACAACCCGGCCCCGGGGGAACGTGAGGCGGGTTCGGGCTTTGCTCAGTCTTTGGCTCCAGCCCTCATTGCTTTCCATAACCTTCCTCCAGCGTTTGTTGAGTGCTTCACTACCCCGGAGCCAGTCGGGATTTAGCTCCCTCAAGGAGAAGGCGGCTTTAGAGGGTGCATATTCCTTCCTTACTCTCCTTCTTCCTCCTCTTCCTCAACCCCGAGCCACCGAACACCTCTGTTTGTCAATCCCCTGTGCAGATGTCGACCTACAAGCGGGCGACGTTGGACGATGAAGACCCCCTGGACTCCACTGGTGATGGTGATGGGTACCCCAACGGCTTCCAGGTAGGGCTCTATGTGTGTTTTTAGGGTTAAAAGGGAGGATTTTAGGTCCTGGTAAGCAGCAAAGGGGGTTGCTGAAGGGTTTTCCGCCTGGGACCAGCCTTTCTGTGGGGCAAAGTCCGGTCTGGGCAGAGCCATGTTGGCTCCTGCTGGCACCCGGAGCCTGCGGGTAATGTTCATAATGCCCCAGCACCCAGTTTTTATGCCATCCAACCCCTTCCCAGCATGTCCAGGCTGAGCAATTATGGTGGCAGTGGGAGCTTTGTCCCCATCCAAAAGGGATTAGGTTAATTCCTCCCCAGGTAGCAGAAAAGCAGCTTAAAAAGGGCTGAGGGTGGCAAGAAAAAAACCCCACTGCAGCCAGCGTGCCAGCTCTGGCACTGGAGCGATGCTCTTGGTGCTGGCCCCACTGCCAGCCCCATCGTTCTGTGCCTGGAATGGTGCT